GGGTGAGGAGTCAGGAATACGCTGGATGACCGATAAGAAGACTCTAGAAGGTCTGGATTTCTCAGATGATGTCTGTCACACAAACTCGAAGACTTGCAAGAGAAAACCAACAAACTGAACAGTGAGAACAGGACTGCAGGTGAATGCAGAGAAGACGGTGATGAAGATAACCAATCAACAGCAACAACAACCAGTCACCATCAACGGGAGAGATTTAACAGAGGTCGCCTCCTTCACTTAACTAGGAAGCATCCTTTCAATTACAGGCGGAACAGACGAAGCTGTCAAAGCTAGCCACAATCAGAAAGGCAAGATACGCCTTCATCAACCTGAAACTAGTTTGAAAATCTTCCGCTGTCACTCAGCCTAAGGAAAAGATTCGCATTTTCAACACCATTGTCAAGTCGGTTCCTCTATACGGGTCAGAAACTTGGCGTGTCACGAAAAGGATTTCAAACAGGTTGCAGACTTTCATCAACAGCTGCATTCGCTCCATATTGAAGATCAGATGGCCAGAAAGAATAAGCAACAAGAAACTTTAGCTGGGAATAAACCAACAGGCGAGAGCCGATCGCTCAACAAATATATAGGAGAAAATGGAGATGAATCGGGCATACACTGAGGAGGCCGCCGAACAACATCGCACGCTAGGCCTTCACTCGAGTGGAATCCAAATGGGAAGCGACCAGTGGGTTGTCCTAGGGTGACATGGAAGAGATCGTGTTGGAAGATGAGAGACTATGAGCAACCGTGGACCCGGGTGAAGAGGACACTGGAAAATAGAAGAAAGTGGAGATGTGTTGTTGAAGCCCAATTTCCCACCGGTAACCCAAGGGAATGACAATATAAATACTGCATCATACAGATAAGACTCAGAGTATCTTCCGCTTACATCCAGGGGCTTCCTCTAATTGTTCACCTGTCGTATCCTCTGGCAAAATATTTAATGGTGATTTGGGATAAACTTCAGGGTGTCGCATCATTTTTTCACCAACTGTCCCCCCTCAGATTACTTCAAAATTGTAATGAAACCATCAAATTACCCTAAAATTCTTCAGTTCTGTGGACCTTGGTCACCTATCCATACATGCCATGAGGCTGACTTGTTCTCAACGAAGGGAGAATTTATAGCATAATGAAACCTCTTGATTCTTTTTCGTTTTCGCTCCCAATCCAAATCTGTATGGCCTTACTATTGCCCACCTAAAAGAGGATAATACGAATGTGTGGCGCCAGTTCGAACTGGGTATGCTTATCACCTGTTTACCATCTTTGAGTCTTGTGAGAGAATACTTGTTTTGCAATAGAATATACATAAATGCGTATTTTAGGCTTTCTCACACCACGAGTTCCCGAGTACTCGCCGGGAATGATCATTCCCTTCATTATTTCCGCACAACTAATGGTGTGATGTTCTCAGCGTAATTTTCATATTATGGAGAATTGTTGTAATTTTTGGGCATTATAAGTTTGATGAGTTGAAAAAATCCAGGACAGGACGTGCGTTTTCTATTGCGAAATATATACGGAAACATCAGTATTACTACTTTTACTTTTGTTATTTTCAAAAGCCAATATATACATGTATATATATATATCCAGTGTGAAGGGAGTTTAATGAAACGAGCTAAGTGCTAATAAAAGTGTATGGCTTGAAAATACAACTTGAATTTAAGTTAGTGTTTGTAGACACTTGACCCCAGATGTTTAATTCTTGGATAACACTTCTGTAAATTCCGTTTGGTTCGCGGGTCATTTTAAACGATGACTGCTGATTTCTATTTCTTTTTCTAGTTAAACCACAATTTGCATATGCCCTAGCTGTTAATGGGGTTTGATATTTTAAATGCTGCTGGATTAAAGTTCACCATTTCTTAAAATATTTTTTGTCAGCAGTTATATTTTACATTTGGAGTGGCTCTACCAGATTTTCATGACTGATACATCTTAGTCTTCATTTTTGTAGGATTATATGTCACATGTTCTCTACAAGTAGCCTGTTAAGACCGACAAACAAATTCACAGAGAAGAGTTACAATTCGTCAGGTTTGCCTGTGCGCCGGAAGAATACAGACAGGATGCGGTTAAAGATGAGTTGTCTTGTCAGCTTAATAACCTCAAAAAGCGCACTCCACAGATATTGCTAGCTGTGAATTAATGGGGTTTTTTTAAATTAAAAATCACATATAGTCAGCGATGAGCCACATCTACTGTGTGAGGTTCGGCGATATTATCTGGCTACTCAGACCGACATGGGTGGAGTGGGGTTTGAATCTGCAACCAGGTATTTGAAAGTCAGCATCTAGACCAGTTAATCACAACTTCACTGGGACTTGAATGCCTGTAAGCTCATAGAAAAGTTGTTTAGGAGGTCACTGAGGACTAGATGTTTGTAGGTCAAATAACTGGGCCATCTCTAAAAATGATCAGCATAATGCATCTTGTTACCAGTTGCGTCAGAAATACCGGTTACTGCTTTTATATGCCGACTGTAGACTGCGCGTAAAATTAGTTTGAAATGAGTAATCTAAGCTTTGTTTATGTCACGAAGTTACCAATGATGCCATCCCTCCCTGTTCGCTAGGACACCAGTGGAGACCAACAGCCGTTGTATTGATTGATGTCAAGGTTGCATCTTACTCATTAAACGGGATTATTATTCGGAACTCACTTGCTGAGATGTGTCCCTAAAAAGTTTGTCAAAGTTCTGAAAGCCCTGTACACAAGCATCTCAGGGTGCGGAAAACAGCTTATCAGTCAACCGTTTTTAAATAGTAGGTTTTTAATAAAGAGTTGAATCTCCTCATTTGTCTTTAGTTTTGTCATCGTTGACATTTTAAGGACAACTCTGAAGGATATGCACGGTTTTAGTGTAGACCTGCTGCATGGAGAAAGATTATTCGTCTTTTAGCATGCAGACAAAATCTTACTGTACGACAACCAATAGACCACTCAAATCATACTTAGTGGTCAGTGTACGTATGGTACTTTGCTTCGTACTGTAGCAAAATTAGCAGCAGCCCGCATATGCACCCAGAGGCAGGTGAATCACTAAAAAAAGTTGAAAAATTCATCTATTTAAGCAGTTGTGTAAGTGCTGGATAAAAGCTTAAGCAGCATTTGTCAACCTGCCACACCTGTGATGGCGTCACAATGGTAGTGTGGCCACCATAGGATCTACAGTACTTCAGCTGCATGTATTCCTACTGTTAGCCTGTAAAACCTCATTCTTTGTTTATGATGTACTATGACACTAAGTATTCGACTATTGCTATCCGTTGTATTCCTTGCATCTGATGACTTCGCTTTCTGAGTAATTCTGAGATCCAAGGGCTCGTATTTGGATGTTGTTTTTCAGTTAGTTGATGTCATTTTGGGACATTGCTTTCGGTGGCTTGGACTTGTGCTTCGAGTGTCATTCAAGAGGCTTCCATAGTTTTTACTGTTTGCAAATAATAATAATAATAATTTGCTTTATTCCAAAACAGTACTTGTGATACAGAATGGAATTCTCAGCATTTTTTACTACAGTATTGCATCCAGTTAGTACATTATCAATAAGTAGAATTCTACATAGATAAAGGAAATCTAGGCCTTAGTATGATTGGAAAAGTGTAAAGACAATCAAACCATTACTTGGAACCTTGAGATGAAGGATAGTTGTGTTTATTTAATGTCTATTGACGCAGCAGTACTTTCTTAGTGAAGTCTGAGGAATCATGCAGCTTGGTGGCTCGAAAAGCTATTGGATTTTACTTAGAATTTAAATTTTTGGTGAGCATAATGCGATTTCCTCCAGTCTTTTCTTCTGAAGGTAATACAAAGAAAAAGATGCTCTTGATAAGCACGCTCAACTGTTTTCATTCTGCTCCTCATATATGTTGCTTTTGTTTTCCTATTAACTTTATCATTTTGTGTCTCGCATTCCTAAGTGCCCATATTGGACTTAATTTATGGTTTCAATCAAATAAATTCTGTTTGAAGCCATCTGCAGTCTGGTAGTATATACCTCTGTGAGAATCGAGTCGCTCCCTGAAGGTTCTGAATAAGGAATTGATTTTCATCTCCCCGATAAAAGGTCTCAGTCTTTGTCTACTCTGTGGTGGAACTTAAACTCTACCCTTATTTTATTCGATAGCGGTTGTGGTCCTTCTTAGATAAGTTGTCCTGAAAGGAATAATAAAGATTTAACCGATCAACAACACGTCGTTATTCAAGATACAATAAACCTATTAATAAAGACCACTTCTCTTCCAAGGGTATGCAAAGGAGATATTTCTACTTCTCTTTTTCACAGGGAAGGTGTATTGGTCGCGTTACTAGCTTCCCAATCTTTGTTGTCATTGTAGTATATCTGCCTCCTTCAGACAAAGATTAGCCATCTGTGACTAGGTCTTACCTAGGTAACGTTTGGTATTCTGTGCTTATCTTCACTAAAACAGGTAATTTTAACCGTTTCTTTAGAGTAGCAAATATGCTGATATTTTTTATTTATTCGCGTGAAGACCTTCAATTTATGCGAAAAGGTATACCAACATTTGCTGGCTTTTACACTACATTTTACTGTAAAAGAAACCAAAATGTTTATAAAATTTCCCTCACACCATGGCGCTCTAAGGGATGAATCAAAAATGTAAGCAGTGTTGTAGTTGCAAACATTTAATCAGTAATGTCCTCAATGGTTTTATGCAATGTGGCTTGTTGGCTAAAGCGCTCGATTTCACGCTTGTGAGTCTGAACCCGGCTTAACGTACTTCAGCCCGAGCAGCTGTATAGTACCACCTGACCCGCCAAGTCAGGTAAGAGAACAGTTACTCGCCTATGACACTGGCTGGCGGTTGCGATGTAAATCGCCATTGGCTCGGGGCCCAGTAGCTGAATGGTCTACGGGCTCACTTTGTAACTGGAAGGTCTTGAGTTAAATCCCCCCCCGTGTGTGTGTACTTCTGGAGTCCCAAACTAGGATGAAACAGCTGTGCAGTACATCCTGGTTTTCCAGTTGTTTCTTAACTGATGTCAGCTAGTGTTCAAATCTGAAGTCAGTGTATCAGCTTGTGGTTGAAATACTTCATGACTACGTTCGGTTTTTCTTGCTAGTTCCAATAAAAGCTTAAGAGACTTCAAAGTGATTGGTGGCAATTTATTAAGCTTAAAATAGTTTATTTTGGCCATATCATAAACCGTAAGATAACTAAGTATGACTGGTGTCTGTACTGAATTGCTAGGGTGAACTGTATCTTACTTAGTCAAGCCGTGTTACTTAGGTTTGTGTACTTGGTTGTGAAACATTTGTTTACCACAATAATGATATCACCTTAATATTTAAAATAAAGATAATTTAAGTAGAGTTGGTTTCAGTTGTCTTATAATATAATACTAAACATTTAAGTTACTGGACTAAAGCAGCACTTCCACACCATAGCATGCGAAGTCTTAAGAAATATTTTAACATAGGACATTAAAACAGTATCAGTTAGTTTTTAAAAGTTAATATAATAATTGCACATTTTCATGTTTATTTTTATTGTTGTAACGTAAAAATAAAACAGTTATCAGGTCTATTTTTACTCAATTAGAAATCCAAATGTTACGAACGTCACTTCATCTGCAACTGTCGAGATGGAAACTCTTCCATCGGTTGGTCCATTCCGAAGCTGTGACCTATGCTGAACATGGTGAACCCGACCAAGTTCTGCGTTTCTCATCAACTGCACTAAAACCTTTTGCAAATGACGAAATTTTGGTGAAAGTATGTGCAGCTCCAATTAATCCCGCGGACATAAATACCATACAAGGTACTTATCCAATAAAACCAAAACTTCCCGCTGTTGCTGGAAGTGAAGGAGTGGGCAAAGTAAGTGGTATGATTACGTTTGTAATTTATGTAAGATTCAATATATTACTCCAGTGTGCGAACGTTCAAGTGGTGAATTTATAATATTTATTGTATTTTACACATTTTATTACACATAAAGTTGCTACAAGTGACTTTTAGTATGGATGTGTAACACATTCAATAACATTCAGCATCTTTACTATTATCTGTTCATTATTCGAACGCAAAGTCACACTCTTCAAAGTCAAATATGGAACAGTAGAACTAATAGACAAAGTCCTTTAGGATCCTTCTGGGTCTTGTGAAGAAGATCAGTCTTCTTCTTTGCGAAGTGGTCGTCTCAAATACGTCTGTGGCTATTTTTCTCTTTATCACTTCATTTTTATTTCCTATCCTCAATATTCACTTAATTGTCGGGGTGAAATATTACTACTTAAAAAGTAATGGAACAACGCTGAGTTCTAGATTGTTCTTGTATATGTGTCTCCAAGGGATAAGATATATCCAATCTGACGAAAATCTGTATCATTGTCACTATCACCTATACATTCATGATGCTTTTTTTAGACTATACTACTTTTCGCCATTATCAAACCCAATACTCTTCATAATTCAGTCATATTTTTATGGATACTAATATAATAGTTAGTTTTTGATTCACAATGTTGAGTAAGGCGTCAGTTAATATATGACACGATGACTGATTTGTACGAAGATACTGAAAATTTTTGCCCATACATTTATTTTAACAATCACCAAAAATTGAAATCCTATACTATCATAGATTAATGTCTCTGAAGCTAGATGGTAATGTTTCTTGGGTACTTGTTGCTGATGATTACTAAAGAATATTAAAGCGTGAGTAATTGTTTGTGACCTCACAGTGAACATTAGTGTTGATGTGTTACTGTATTAAATGACCGCAATATATATTTACTTTACATAATTCTGTCACCAGGCAGAAATAAACAACATAAAATTGACTACTTTTTGATGGCTGACCAGTATACTAGTCTGTTAGAATTCATGAGCCATTGAATCGGGTCCCAGTGGCTGAATGGTATACGACATTGCCTTGTAACCGGAAGGCCCTGGGTTCGAATCCCAGTGGGTGCGTACTGCCGATGATTCCCAAACTAGGATGAAACAGCAGCTGTCCAGTCTTCGCTGGTTTTCAATGGTTCTCTAACTGATATCAATCCGTGATCAACTCGTAAAAACATAACTAACCCTTACAAACCAAACTACAGAAAATAGTCTGTTTTATCATATGGATATCATTCTAGGGATAATTATCAAAAAATCATGGATCTTGTTTCCTGATATACAAAACATTTTGTTGAAACTCCCTAGTGATATCATTCGCATGTGTAATTTCTCAAAAGGTTATTCTCATACTTGTCTACTTATTTTATAACTTATCGGAAATAGCTTATGCTTCTCATTTCTCTTGCCTCAGATTATTGCATGTGGGAAAAATGTGAACAATTTTTCTGTGGGTGATTCAGTTATTCCTTTGGAATTCGCATCAGGCACTTGGCAGACATATTGGTGTGGTAAAGCTGATCGATTTCTTAAAATAAAACATCCTATCCCTTCGACGCATGCTGCTGTGATGGCAATCAATCCAAGCACTGCTTTACACTTGCTCAAAAGTTTTGCGGAACTCCAAAAGGGGGATACTATAATCCAAAATGGTGCAACAAGTGCAGTTGGAGTATACGTTATTCAAATAGCAAAAATACTAGGAATTAATACAGGTAAGAGTACTTTTACAATTTAGCATATTTATACTTCTAGTGAACTTGTTTCGCGAAAGAGAAACAACTAAAGCCACTGAAGAAACCCGTGAACTTCTCAAATGTTATGGAGGTACATTGTGTCTCACAGAAGCTGAATATATGGAAAAGGCAAAAGAAATGGGTCCTTTTAAACTTGCTTTAAACTGTTTAGGAGGAAAGCCTGCATCCCTTTTGGTAAAAAGTCTAGATCATTGTGGAACAATGGTTACATACGGTGGGATGACACGTAATCCAATGCCATTACCTGTTGGTCCTTTTATTTTCAAAGACATTCATTTACGCGGTTTTTGGCTGACGAATTTTAACCGACATCAATCTGCGGCACAACGACAGCTTACTATTGATCAACTATCGAAATGGTTCTCAGAGAAACTTATCATACCTTCACCGTTCGAAGAAATCCCTTTCAAAGATTGGCGTAAAGCATTGAATATGTCACTTTTTAGTGACTCAATACCTGCAAGTATCAGGAGAAAACCTATTTTAATTATGGAATGACACTGTATTGTTGTATAGATTTTCCTAGTCATAATAATAATTATCTGTAAACTTGCAATCACCTGTGTGTAGATTTTATTCACACTGATAAGTAAATTTTACTCTGGGAATTTAATTTATTATTTTATTTTTTATTTGGAATTGATTTCAGTGTGACTTATCACGGTGTCTCTTTTTCATTTCAACCTTTGTACAATTTCCAGTATAATGTATGATATACAAACGATGAGTACATTTATTTCGTCATAGTGACAACTTGTTAAAAAAGAAGCTTTTCTAATATTTAAGAAGAAATACAATAGGTGTTAATATCAATTAATATTGTAAATAAAATCACAGTATTTCTAGTGCTCAACTTATGGTAATGAGAATTATGCAGTGGTTGTGACTGTCGTTCACTCTTCAGGTTAGCTTACATAACACAGGGATATATTGTAGTTTCTAAATAATAAAGATTCCCAAAGTAACATTTAAATCAGTACATGTAAGCGAACAAAATTTGCTTGTAATTAGATCTCACCACGCGTTACTCCAATACGCATAACTTTACTGAATATTCTTTAAAACACTTAGTCCCTTTGATAAATTTGAAGAAGGCATTTAGAAGACAAATTTCGCGAGACCAGACCATTTCGTAGTTTTTTTTTTACAACAGCTTTACAACTAGCATGCTTCACAATAATGGATGATGATGGATTTCTATTCAGATTAATTGCACTGGGATTTTCTATGTATTCTACACTGCATCTCTTTCCCTCACATCTCGAACATTTTCGATCCCAATACCTACGATTAAAGGATGAAATTCTCTGGATTCTACTTCTAACTGTATCTTCAAGTTCACGTGCAGCTGCGGTGACACCTATATGGCTAGAACCAATAGGATGTTCCAATGTCGTCGAAAAGAACATGTTCCAAAATGGTTGTTAAAACAGAAAATCCCAATGCAGTTAATCTGAATAGAAACCCATCATCATCCATTGCAAAGTACTTATTAATATCAGGTCACAAAATCAATATTAATGACTGCTTCACAATTATTTCACCACATAACTCTAATTCAAGGTTGGTTACTGAAGGTGATGGAAGCATTTTGGATTAATCACACACATCCTGAACTATGTGTACCAAAAACAATAGACTTCAACCTTCACCTACCATGGACCTATTTAAATATGATTGGTCATTAGTATGTACTTTTGTTTTATATAACTGAGTGATTGTCATGCATTTTATTTTATTATTGTGGACCATCTTAGCTGTAAAGCGGTTGTAAAGAAACTACAAAATGATATTGTAATATGCATTTCTGGTCAATTGAAATATTAAACATTAATCAATCACGGTGATTTGTCAATAGGATGATAAGATTGTGCGTATCAATTACGACACTAGTTATAATAAGGATAATTCTATTGATGACAAAGATGAAAAAGTGGAGCGGTTTGTGATAACAAGAATAATGAAGATCTACGTGCTTAAACATCGGTCGATCGGTTTTCGACATAGAACTTTGCACATATGTGCAGCAGTTCAAGTCGCCACACTCCATGTAGCACACAAAGCAAGAGAAGAAATGCATAATAGAGACAGTAAGTTGAGGTGTGAGACAAAGGAATAGTAATAACGAAGAACAAAACAGTTTAATTGGAAATCATAAGTCACAAGGAGTGGATGCATCTGCGCCACTGAGAACGATTTTGAGCCATGTCACCAATTGTTTCCAACCATTGGTTTTTACCGTCCCGAGGACCCAACTAGTCAGGAAGTCTACACCTTCCTACGTGGCTTAGACTAACTGTTGTGGATTTCATTGACTGGTGCCATGTTTTCGTTTGACCGCCGCTAGCTCTTTTCCAGCCTGACCCTATATCAGCTAACATTGCCCGTCGAGGAAGGCGATGACTAGGCATACGTAACACATGTCCTAACCATCTCAATCGATGTAATTTCACAGTCTCGTCGACTGATTTCCCCTCCTTACCTAGCACTCGACGCCTAACCTCAATATTGCTCACCTTATTATACCATTTCACACGGGAGATAGAACGCAGACACCTATGATCAAAGACAGCTAATCTTTTCATGTCTTCCGCTCTCAATGGCCAGGTCTCACAGCCATAAAGGAGGACGGAGCGGACTGCTGAGCAGTACACCCCCTTTGGTCGATAGTCGGATATCACGTCTACGCCAGAGACGGCGTAAACTGGCATATGCGAAACTAGCCCTCTGTATTCGTGCTGAGATTTCGTCAGAGATCAACCCGTTGGGGCTGATGGTACTTCCCAAATAAGTGAAGCGGTCAACGTGCTCTACCACTTCACTCCCTATTTCTAAACTAGGAGTCAGTGTAGTCCAGTCCTGTAACATCATCTTACATTTGGCGGGAGCGAATCGCATGCCAAACATTCGTAGATTGCAGCTCAAGGTGTTCAGAAGACTCTGCATTTTGTCAGCGTCCTCGCCTAGAAGGACTATATCGTCTGCATATTCTAAGTCAACGAGATTATTCCCTGGTAGCAAGTCAATCCCTGAGTCGCTGAAGTGAGTTAGGGTTAAGTCCATTAGTACATCTATGATGAAATTGAATAGAAATGGGGATAATGGGCATCCCTGACGGACACCACTAGTCGTCACCACTTCAGATGACAACTCGCCGTAAGCCCTCACCTGGCTGCATGAGTTCGAGTAGAGTGCCTTGATCAGTGCAATGTATTTTCTCGGCATTCCCTTTACAGCCAAGCATCGCCAGAGAACCTCTCGGTCGACAGAATCGAATGCCGCCTTTAGGTCAAGAAATATAACGATTGTTGGACGCCGGTAAGAATGCCTATGTTCTAGAATCTGTCGAAGGGTGAAGATATGATCAATACACCCTCTTCCTGGTCTAAAGCCTGCCTGGTTTTCTCGTGTTTGTGCCTCCCGAGCACCACTTAGTCTACGCATTATTATTGAGCCTAGGACTTTAGATACTATATTAGTCAAGCTAATCCCTCTGTGATTATCACAGGAAGACTTGTCTCCCTTCTTGTATATCGGGATGATCAGTGACTTACACCAACCCGATGGGACTTCCTCTGATTCCCAGACGCTGCCTAGAACCTCAGTTAATGCAGACAGTAAACTGTCTCCACCGTACTTAAATACCTCTGGAGTCATTCCATCAGGTCCTGCTGCTTTGCCTTGTTTCAGATTAGTGACAGCTTTAGTAACCTCAGTTAAGGACGGAGGACCTGTGTCTATATCCCATTCAGGGAGGTGTTGGATGTTCGGCAGGTTAAGCGTGGCTGTAGGCCAATTAAACTGCTCCTCATAGTGTTCTTTCCAGCGTTCCAGTCGTCTATCCTGGGAGCTAATTATGGTGCCATTTTTCTCCGAGATTGTTTCGCTTATCATTTGCCTTTTGCCACCTGTTTCCCTGATAAGCCTGAATAGTTGTCTGGTGTTGCCAATCGCCGATGCCTTTTCCATCTCTTTCGCTTTTGTCGCCCACCACTGTTCACGGTCCTTGCGAAGACTTTTTGTTAGTCTTCGTTTAAGTACCTTTCGCTCCTCATCATAATCGGAGCTCGCTGGAATCAGTCTTCTTGCGTCAATCAGTTCGGATGAGGCGGTAGAGATCCAATGGCTTTTATTAACTTTAGGTTTTAGCTTATTGACAGCTTTCACGGCTGTGTCCACAGCTAACTGTATGTTGTGCCAGGCTACCTCAGGGGAAGTCCTGCTGTCGACCTCAGAAACTAGTTTCGCTATTTCTTCCTTAAATAAGGACTCAGTGTCACGATCTAGTTGGGGACGTAACTGTTTCGTTGCCGTCAATTTCTTATGTCCATTTAGTCGTAAGCATAAACGTGCGCGAACCAGAGCGTGATCAGAGTCTACGCACGTGTTCCAGAAGGAGCGACAGTCTTCTACTGACCCTCGCCAACGATACCCTATGGCTATGTGGTCTATCTGAGTCCAGCGTTGATTTGGTGATGGAGGTCGCCAGGTTACACAATGTCTTTCTTTGTGCCTAAAGTTAGTGCTGACTAGGAACAGATGATTATCTGAGCAAAACTGAAGAAGACGATCACCGTTGTCGGTTCGTCGGCAGGGAACTCCATACGTACCACCTACATACTTCTCAGTCTGGCACAACTTCCCTACTTGGGCATTGAAGTCGCCTGCTAAAACAACTATGTCTGAACGTTTTGCTTTTTGCAGCAAATTAGACAGTTTCCGGTAGAAGTCATCTTTTAATTCATCCGAACTGCAGTCTGTTGGGGCGTAAGCGGAGACTACGAAAAGGCAACGACGGGTAGCGCCGTCTTTCCTTCTTTTAACGGACCCGTTCAGACGGACCGCGCACATACGACTATCTACTGGGATCCAGTCAAGGAGTGATTTTTCCGCCCTAACACTCAGTGCTATCCCTACACCTGCGAGTCCTCGTGAGCTAGCTGAGGGGTCTCCCGACACCCTTAAAGTGAATTTTGCAGATTCACCTTGTTGACCGGGTGAGGTCAAGTGAATGACCACACTCGGGTCTTGTATGCGTGTCTCCGAAACACAACATACATCCATGGCTCTAGATTCCAGGGTTCTTGCTAGTGATGCCTGTTGTCCGATTTGGCAGAGGGTCCTGACGTTAAAAGCTCCTATATGAAGTTGGCGACGTGGCTTTAAAAGGCTATCTGGGTTGTTTCTATGGCTCTCATCGTTGTTTGTGGACGCAGAGTGAAGTGAAGATGACTCACTAGCCTGAAGAATAGTGCTAGCTGTAGTAGAGAAGCAAGATGAGGAAGGTGATGTGAGTAGGGGAGAGTGATGCTCAGGTAGGCTTCGTGTGCTTTTGGAAGTGTGTGGGCGGTTGTTACTTCCCGGCTGCCCACACCGTGGAAGTTGGTTGAGTCTTCGGGTACCTGAAATAGAGAAAAGGTTAGTGTTGCGTGACCGCAGAGCCCAGGGGACAACTGCTTGAGGCCGGTCACACGCGGCCTGTTTTTGTTTGTTCTTTTTCATTTGGTGTGTCTCAGTAGCATATTTATCACTTCTGCCCTGTGACACGGCAGCAGGAAGCGCGGTCGTTGTTAATCCGGGCCCCGACCGATCCGGCATGATATTTTGTGAATTTGTTTGAATCATAGTGTTGGATTGGGTAGCTGCTTTTTGTCTAACCGCTATCCAAACAACCTTTCTGGCATGGTAGGACCTACAGGAACATAAGTTCCAGCCAGTGTAGCTCGTTGGGTCATTGCGATATGCAAGCCCGACCACCACGTCAAGGTAGCAGCTATCGGCCGGGA